TATATATATATNTNTNTNTGTATATATTATATGTATTTAATATATATATATATATTATATATATATATATATGTATTATATATATATATATATATGTGTGTGTGTCTGTAAGTTTGTGTGTGTTTTATGTGCGTGTGTGTGGGTGTGGGTGTGTGGGTGTGGGTGTGGGTGTGTGGGTGCGTGGGTGCGTGTGTGCGTGTGCGCGCGTGTGTGTGTGTGTGTGCGTGCGGGTGGGTGTGTATTTGTTCGGTTGGGTGGGTGTTTGTTTGTCTTGTGTACGTGTTTACATATGAATGCATGTACACTACTGGTTTCCTGTTTGTGAAGATATATGTATTATCGTACAGGCACATTTTCAGATACTTCTGACTGATCTTGCCTAGAGTCAACTTGCCTATAGTCAAAACAGTAACAACACAACCTACATCTCAAAAACACTCTGAGCCCGTACACACAATAGCCCTAATCTACGCCCCAAACTCTCGACTACATTACCTCTAAATATCTGGTGCACGTATTGAAATAATCCACAGTGTGCCTCTGTACAGCCTTTCGCATTCGTTTCCCATCGAACACCTGTCTATTTGTGTACATGTAGTGTCTGGGCTTCTCTGAGTCACCCTCTCCGCCCTGAGGGGCACCTTGCACTCCGCCGGTGCCCGCCCACTTTCCCTTACCTACCATCATCTTGGCAAATGTAGATGGGGATCTATAATTTGTAGGGCTATGCCTTGTTCTATATACCGTGTGCTTTGCTTGTATATCAAAATATGAGCTTTGGTAGCTTTTGGACCCGCTCCTGTGATGCAGTTGTAGTAGGCCGTATTGACATTTTTTCGACGCCAAACACCGATATTATCTCATAATAACCCCAATCTCCTTAATACGAATGTGCGCGATATATAGACACATCAAGCGCTCGCGACGACCGATAGTTGGAATTGTACTGTATGTACTACGTTGTATTTACATTCCCAGTAAGCACATAAATACATGTGGTGCAACGGTGGATTGGCATACTGATCCTCTCGAAATAAATAAATCGAACAGGAGTGGTGGCCATATTTAAACCCAACAAGCTTCTAGGGTAAACTTTTCCGTTGATGAAAGTTTGGATTGCCGCACGGCAGCGCACAGGTATGTGTTCATACTTTTGGGGGGGTTTTTTTATAGGGTTTTAGGGTTTTAATGTTGTTGCTTTTTTTGTTTTTTTTGTATTTGTTTAAAAAAAGGGGGTTTTTTTCTTGTTCTAAAAAGTACGTGATGACTCATCCATTACATAATTTATTTTTTATTTGGAGGCCAGCACTCACTCTATGTAGTAAATGGGCCACTATTCCAATGTCCCAGACCCAAGCCGCTGCCAAGCAAACGCGAAGAAAACGCGGCGATGACTCATATTTATTGCATACAGAGTACAGACAGAAGTGCTGTGTTCAGTGTGAAGGTTGTAAATATTTACCTCTTTACGGTTGATTTTGGCGAGGGCAATGTCTGCACACTATTTCAGGGTCAATCAAAATATCTATAAAGGTGAAGCCGGCCAGTCCTACGGCACCACACAGCAAGTGCAAGTTGGCCTGTATAAGAAGCATGACTAGCATCAAACAAACAGCCGTGCCGGATATCAGTCGAGGTCAAGACTTTACTAAGTCTCCTTTCCAGGCTTTTAAACGTCCGGACACCAATGCTATAACCCGTTCGCGTGCGGTGAAGTATGTGGCAGCACCCGTGTTTGTCAGTGTCGTTGCAGGCGGCATCGCCGTGGCACTACTTCAGTAAAGAATGAGATACGATAAGTCGAGTCGTGAGTTGTGGCACTTGTATCCCATTCGAGATCGAAACTCGTCCAATAACACTACAGATAAGTCTCTACGCTTGTGTAGTTTTTTATGTGAGCTCTGGAAAGGAGACACCGAGGATGTTGCGGTAGTCTGTACATGTTAGTCGATCTGTCTGGTGGTTTCACTGGGACAGTTCAACAATTGCGTAGTTTTTAATGTGAGCGCTGGAAAGGAGATGCCGAGGGTGTTGCGGAAGTCTGCAAAAGTTAGTCGATCTGTCTGATGGTTTCACTGGGACAATTTTTGTTGGATGAAAATCGTAACTTTGGAATGCCGTTGGATAGTACACGAGTCTGTGTCCCTATGTAGTATTCATCCATTAATTGCATTCGCATCACCCTATTCCTATTTTAACTATGGAAGTTTGATTGATACTAAAATAGGTATCAAGTATACTATAGTGTCCCATCTACAATTTTCACAAGGTGCTTAGTCCGTCTGTTTAAGAACACAGACATTGACCCGACGACAGTGTGTGTTGCCCTCGGTCATTTGTAAAATAACCAGCTGAAAGTTTCTGGCCATATTTTCCGGTCGACATGCTGGTCTGTCCAGCAAACCACAGCATATATGGAGATGCTGAATACAGAAGCTCTACATCTGTAATGGTCAGGGTATCAACTTTGTTCGGATAAGTTGAAAAATAAAGTCTGTCTTTCTATATCGGTCGCTACTTTGCGTGTTTGCATTTTATAGTAGCGTAGTATACTATCGCGACAGAAAACCTAGCATTACTTACTTCTCCTGCAGGTGACAAATTACCCGTACAAATTTTCCTGATTAATCAAAGCCCGTTGTTGTGGCTTACCCCTTCTAAGAGATATCGATTTAATGATTACCACACCTGAACAACCCATATTGCGATATAACTGTAACTTAGTAGGCTTTGGGCGCATCCTATTGATGCAATTACGAGCTTACTTGCAATGTTGTTTTGTATCATACAGCGGAGAATGAAACTTCACGCAGCGACAACTGATAATATATGAGAAATACGTCGCGACTGAGAGGTTTTAAGAGTCATCTGGAAATACTCTTCAATACGAGACTTTAATCACCCTAAATTCGATTTCTGATAATTTAAAGTGCTAATCACTGAACTGGCGATGCACGTAGATACTTCAAATTAAGATATTATCTTTGACTATAAAACAAACATGAGTGGACAACCCATTTGCATTTCATGGATTTTGTATAAGTGGGCGACCAGTGTCTGAATGTGATACACCATACATAAGCTTGTACATTATCAGAAAAGTCTCAGTATCGATCAGCTTTGAATTATTTATCAGCTTTGAATGAAGCACTCATAATCCCCAGCCGAGCCCGAGTGCGACACGGAGAGCACCAGCACATTTTAGAAGCCGAAGGTCAAATTCTGAAATTCAATCGGGAAAGTGTACAGTATTTACAGGCCAGCTGTACTAATGCACGCATCCCAATTTGGAGAGAAGGCATTGGTCTATTTACTCTCGTTTCAGCGTAAAATGTCTTATTCTGCAGTGCCAGCGGTTGTTAAAGTTCAATATTGCGGTCACGCCAACTCATGTGTCCCAACTCCAATGAGTCATCGCAATACATCATGGGGGCTGGGCCACCGGGGCGTGTGGTACCCCGGAATCCCGGATATGGTAAATACTAAATAGTTGACAGAGATAGTATGGGCAAACTATACAGAAATATTATACTTACAATACAATATACTTATTCCTACATAAACAATCGGTTTATTCGAACTTGAGTCAGAGAACTTATAGAATCTTAATTAGATCACTCAACATAATGTATAGCTTACGCCAAGTGTATTCCATCGGTGGTCGTGTGTCGACGCGTACGCTTGCACGCCAGCAGCCCATAGTTGTGCGTGCATTGCACGCCGCCACTAGTTTAAGGGACGAAAAGAAAGATGAGCCTAAACCAGGTCAGTTTATAGAGTGTTCTTCTATCGGATTTATTTGATATTGGTATATATCTGCCTTTATAAGTCATCGATGAGTATTGGCGTACTGTCAGGCTCAAGTGTTTGGTGTTGATATGCGATATTACTATGTTTGTAACTTACCATGCTTGCATGGTAGGCTATTTAGGTTCTGTGTTGCTTACTAGCAATTCGTGCGAACGAGGTATACAATACGTCGCACATCCAGATGACAATAATCCACACCTATATGTTATGTTCCTATACGATTATGTATATATATATATATGTGTGTGTTTGTGTGTGGGGGTATATATATATATATATGTATATGTATATACATAAGATACATAGATATGATAAAACCATGTGATCCTGTGTTCAGTGCTGTTAGTTTTTCTGTACGAAGTACCAAAAGCGTCGCCTACTGTTTGTGACCATTATTTGGGGGAGTCAGTAACAAGCCTGTTTTTATTTATTTTGCATTTCAATAGCCTGTGTATGATACATAGCGTAAGGAATGCTCACGAGGCGTGCCAACGATGTATATTTATACATATTGCATGCGTATGATTATAAATATAAGAAATGCCCACGGATCGTGCCAGTGCCGTGTAGTTTTTTTTCCCTGGGGTACCTATTTTCTGCATGAAGGAAGCAGGATGAAGCGTATCGTATGATGCCTATAGCAGTATGGTCAAGCAGTATTAATGCGCATAGTACAGCAAAATACATTATATCCTGAACTCCGTTGAATTTCACGTTCTGTAGTTGAACCGGAAGCCACCGAGGATAACAAGCTGGAAGCGGAACTTGCTGCTTGCAAAGAAGAAGCTGCCAAATTAGCCACGAATGTGAAAGATATAAATGTATGTTACTTGCGATTTTTATGATCGTTTGCTTGTTCAGTTTAATAGCTATGTGGTCGCGAGACCTCTATCCTCTATGCTTTTGATAAATCTGGATGCATGTGTGTCGATTGCAAGCCGATGTGCTCATGCGTGTTTGTTAGAACACCGCATCAATGTGTAATCAATGAGGTATGCATTAACATTGGTCATTGTATATACTCTATCGAAGCTATATCTATATACATGTGAGTTTGTGTGTGTTTATATATATATATATACTATTGTATATATAATCCTGTTTGTTTGTGCGCATATTCACGAGTTTTATATGTAAACTATTAGGTGTACACACGATGTATATAATGATGCCCCTGGACATGTAACGTATCTCTGCCTTCTGAAGGATCTGTCTATAGTATCATGTTATTAAGTCTAGTGGGCTCAATAAGAAGATTCAATGTTGTGTTTGTTATTATATTCCACTTTCAAAATTATCATTTGCAAGTACTGCCATGGGTGGCTATTTCTATAGTTTGTTATTCAACTCTATAATGACTATTATCGTATATATTGGGTTCGTAAGGTGGGACGTGTTTATTCTAAGAATTCATACAAAATCAAATTTCTTGGCTTATTAGTTGGTACGTGTGTATCGTCAATGATCATTGTTGTCAAACAATTTCGTTTGAGTGGTATGGGTCGAGACCAATCTTGTCTCAAAATTTTACTATGCCCCGTGCGCATTTTATTTTTGGTGTGTATGTGTGTACAGGTAAAATCAGTGCTTTCCAGTACCTGTCTACAAACGATCCTAATCTGTTATGATCACGTTGTATTCCTTCAGAATGTGTCCACAGGCAATACTTCTGCGCGTATTGGTGGTTTACTTGTGCATGTAACTGTGCTTGATATCCACAACCAATAGATCATCTACACGTATTAGTACTGTACCTGTGTACGTAAATGTTTGCGATATAACGCTGATGTGAGCGAGAATCGAGCTACCACGTCCCACAGCACAGGGATAAACCAGCTCTGGACATTTGCCCCATCTTAACCCCTGTGTATAGATACGCTCACTGACACGTATAATAAACCACCCTCAGGATAAGTATATGCGAGCTCTAGCGGAGATGGAGAATGTGCGCAAGCGTGCCCGCACAGATGTAGACAACCAGAAGCACTTCGCCATCCAGAAGTTTTCTAAATCCTTGATCGAGGTATGTATGGAATATGACTCTAATTTTCTTTGTTGATGCAACGTCCCAGGTTGTGATACTATTTAAGGGACTAATGGTATTCTTTGTACTTGTGCTGGAAGAGGTTATGTTCTGTGACCATGGTCAGAGTGCTGTTTTCATGAGGATTAAAGGAGTGCGTACAACATGTATAGTCAACGATGTCCATCCTCTGTGCATGTTATATAGCACTGACGTGCAAATATGTATGTGTGTACATCGGTTTTGCTAACCTGGATATTGTTGTAGTACTGTAGCTTCTCACATCACTAGTAGTTGGGCATCCCACTCTCAGTCTGTAAGGAGAAAGTAAAAAGGTGTCGACTCTTATTTATATAGGTATGTATGTATTTGTATACATAATATCATTTTTATTATTGTTATTGTTAATATTATTATTGTATCGCTCATCACGCAAACTATTTCTCGCAGGTTGCAGATATCTTCACTCTGGCCACGCAGGCCATCAAGGAAGAGGAGCTGGCAAGCGATCCCAAGCTGCAGAACATGCACAAGGGTCTCACCATGACGCAGGATGCCCTACACAAAGCTTTTAAAGACCACGGCTTAGAGAAGTTCGAGGTGTGTATGTTTTGTGTGTGGTGTATTAGACTGTGTAAGCGACTTTGAATGTAATCTGATTGTTGGCTATTCAAATGGGGGATGTTACGAAATTCTGGGTTTTTCGTTGTGCTTTTCTTTTCTTTTTAGCACATGTGATGCGGTTGGTTCTTATATTGGTTGCTTGGCAGTAAAGTAGATTTTGTGGTATCGCTTCAAATCTGAGCTTGCGCTACACACGGTATATGACATGGGAGCATCCGGTAGCTATCCGGGTTTGTACATATTTGGACAATTGTATATATATATATAGTCATACTAGACACAAGTGGGTTACGCGTAGATGAGGGGTATATTTGAGTGTCTGCCTGATTTGTGCGTACAGGACATGGAATGCCCTTAGACATGCTATTGAGTCCCTTTCTGTATTTATCATTTTATATTTCTAAATGACGGAATGCCTGTAGTGGCATACAATTTTTTTGTGATTCGTGTGTACATTTTTTTACCGTTTTTAGTGTGTGCTTCTTGAGCCGCTAAGAAGTTGGGAGATGTTAGTTTAATGTACATTTGTACACGTCGATGACATTTATATGCATACCTACTACAATAATATTCGATAGCCAGGCTTCCTTTTCATTGCCCTGTCTACATATTCTCTAACGCCCTTCGTTGTGCCACACACAGCCACTGGGAGAAGTGTTCGACCCCAACGCACATGAGGCTGTGTTTGAGCTTCCCGATCCGTCGAAGGAGCCAGGCACAGTAGGTGTGGTGCAGCAGGCAGGCTACTTACTTAACAGCCGCACTCTGCGTGCCGCTAAGGTTGGTGTGGTGCGTAAGCAGGATTAGAACGAATATTTTCCTGAGAGCACTTCCTGGTACGTGTGGTGAACCGAATGCGTAGCATTGGAGATCGGGAGAAAGAAAGGGCTTGTACATAGGCCACCTACTTGCACAGCTGGATGTGGCAGTGGGAATTCAGGGTGGAGTACGCGAAAGTGTACTTGCTCTAGTTCAAGACTAGACATGGACGCTGGTTCCTCTCTCAATACGGTGTTCACCTACTTGTGTGTGTGGGAATGCACTTACGGTCAAGTACTTACCCTCGCGCTTGCGATGGTAGCTTGAATTTGTAGTGCACATGCAGGTGCAACAAATTAAAGTAGGGTGTCGAATTATAGCGGGGTGTTGTCAATCAGCGGTCGACGTTGTCTGTGACAATAAAGGGCTTGTTGACAGGGCTGTATTTGGCTTGTAGATCTAAAAGAGACTTGTACATATCAGGTCAGGGTACATGTGTTTTACAAGGCACGGGTATAAATGGCGGTTTAGCTTCAGCCAAATGTAAGGCAGGTTTTAGTGCTGGCCATGCGCACACTGTAAACTGAGATTGGGCGGTAGGTATACATAGCCTTTCAGTGAGTGCATGGACAGCGAAGTAAATTAATTGGGGTTTTATCAATAAATTTTATCAGATAATACATTCCTTGCGTCGCCTACACTAAGCCCATTACTATATCTTCCTGCAAAGTGATTTGGCCATGATTTGCATTCGATGATTTTGATTTGCTTGTGAACGCGCACTGCGCATGGGGGGTTTTGTGCCCCGCAACACGTATATGAAAGGGTTCGCTTGACGGAACCGACTGATTACGTCTGTATATGGATGAATGTTCATATGCAATGAATTAAAACATGGTTACCCTGAGAAAGTCGAGTACTGTTTTCTGCAGGTCATGTTGAACGCCATCTCAGCCAACGACTTAATATGTTCAAGTTGAAGGTTTCGTTCCAAACGTCATCGCATTGCAAAAACATATCGTCATCGCACAATGTGCTACAATGTACGATAGACATACACAATATTATAGTATATTCTACACTGGTCCAAATTGATCCTGACGATGAATCTCCTTCGCTAAATATTTCGACAAGGTTACGAAGTATACTAGGACCACATATTTGATTTGGATCTCAGATACATATTTTGAATCTCAGTTTCAGATTCATAAGCCTGAAAAAATAACCGTAATCTTAAATGTTGCGTAGCGACGAACTCGCTCGTGTTAAACATCTATGAGCTGTGCTGACAATTATTTGCTGCGTTACGATAGTTTTGCTAAGTCAGACTGACAGTTACAAATTCCAATAGGGAATTGCTTGCTGCACGCCCTCTTAGATAAGGCAATATCCAAGTGCTATCAAATTGACTGCCCATATTCTTGACGAGAGCTAAAAATAACCAATTCAAACTGCGAAGCGCATCTCAAACAAGACAGTAGGCCTCTCATCAAAATCGTAAGGTGGGCATGTTTACCGCATAACCCCTTGTGGGTAGTTTTCTGGCACGCTTATAAACCCAATCGTTGGAGTCGTGAGTCATCACGAGAGGAGTTTCTCATTTCTGAGACTCCAAGATTCAAGTCTTCCTCCTGCCAGTGACCAATATGGCAGTATCTAATATATCTTACATATATCTCATATTTATCTGGAATATCTGAATTATTCCTTTTATCTTTTTTTTAAACAATTCAAAAAAGAAAGAAATCAACCCCAAGAGGATTTTATTTATTTTTTAAAATGGCTTTTCTCGTACCCTGGGGCCGGGGGCTGGCGGCGGGGGCTCTACGTTAGTGCTTGGTATACGACAACGACGTACAGTCGTACATATAGTCATACACCGATACACGGATGCAGCCTTCAGTAAATACACAGATGCCAGCCGATCCATACACCGATACAGCCTTCAGCGGTCCCTGACGACACCATGTCGCGACCGGCACGTCCTACAACATTTAGACACGATATGTAGGACATGTCGTTTGCCCAAATGTGAAATGTGAAATGTGAAACTCGGCAATCTCGGCATGAGACCTTGACGGTATGTATGACCGGATGAGTGATGACCCTCTCAGGCTCTCTCACTATCTCTCTCTACTATTAGTCTATTACTAATAGTAGTACATAGACAGTAGGAGGGAGTAGAGTCTCTCTCTCTCTACTGAGCAGAGAGGGTAATATTATGTAGGGTGTACGGAGAGAGAGAGTCTCAAACTCTCAGCCGTTAAGCCGTGGCCTCTACTACTAGCCACTCTAGTAGAGAGAAGAAATATCGCCAATCGGACTGAGAGATGATTGTTGTTTTCCGCTTTCTCCCCACAAAGTAAGTTTCTTTTTTTTTCTCTCTCTCGAATCATGCATCGTTCTATACCAATCCAGGATTTTCCGATGTTTTCAACTTTTCTGTACATTTTTTCCCCCATTCCAAGGATTTCCCGATGTTTTCAGTATTTTTTTTTGCCCCGAAATGATGCGCAAAAACATGCGATCTCAAAAGGAGTAAATCTATAACTCCATAGATATTATCAACTTTCTATTGGTTAATTGGACCAGCTATTTTAAATCGAATGGTGCTAATCTACTTTGACTAAATCTTCTGTCCAATGAATATATACATTTCTGTATCAATCAAATATTTATATAGCTCTTGGTTTCAAACTCCAATTGAAATCCTCCTCTGCATAAACTCTGATAGGACTCTCTACTCTAGTGAAGATACACGGAAAAAGTATGTATCTATACTCTTTTACTCTGTATTGTAGTAGACTATACATAAAAATTAATACTGTCTATACATTCATAGTGAATAGTCGAAGTCTCGATACAGTACACATGTCATATAGTCGTATGCGACAATATAATTGTATACAGTATATTTAGTTATTTGCACTAAACATACAGTAGATCAGTCTATATCAGTGTATTGTATATTTGGTGTATAGAGTATAGACTTTAGAGAGTATTTGGTTCTCTATTTTTTTATAAAAAAACAAATTCATGTATACAATTATTAATCACAGAGTATGTATTGTACTCTTTTATGTATGAATTGTATCTTGCAGTCTTGCAGATAAACTACTAGTAGAGAGTTAGTGAGCAGAGTCAAAAAGACAGACAAAAAAATTTATTATGCTTGTGTCTCAGTGTCTGACCTCCTTTTCTTTTTTTCAGCTTTCGATTGCTGAATGTATGGTATATATATATATATACCCTTAAATTGAATCATATATTTCACAAAAAACAGTTATATACACGCTAAACAATCATAATATGAGTGTATTCGGTCTAGTAACCCAAATGGACTGTGTATCGAGTGATCATCAAGACCTTGTAGATGTCATGTCAGTCACACACACGAGTAGTTCGGAGGTCGTCAATATGGAGAAATCCGATTTGTATTATGATATACTCGCTCAGCTCAGAAAGGTGTCAGCAGATGAGGAATGTGTTCCAACGCGATCGTTCTCTACAAACTCGATTCAGCATGAGACCTCACTTAGCACTCAGAATTTTGAACAAACGGCGTCGTTGCCATCGATTGGCATGTGGTCATCAAAAGACTTGAACTCGCCGATGGAGTTAGAAACCCGATACACAAAACCTGAGAATGTACGTACCGATTATATTCCTACGATTATAAATAGCTCTCAACCCGATAGCAGCCCTTCTGTACTGTCTCTTCTGGAGATGGCAAGCGCTTATCGATCACAGCGATGTCAATCGCTACCGTCCACACAACAGATACCGGATCTATTTAAAAGAAAATCGTCGCCGTCTGCAAAACGTGCTCAGGCGTCTGCACCGGTCTACAAGCGTGTCGCAAGTATGGGCGACTCATCCAGTACAATGTATGAAATCATCGGTGATACGGCACCTTTAGTGCAGATTAATAGGAGGGATCCGGAAGAGTTGAAACGTCTGTATATTTGTCCTGAGAGTTGTGGTTCGCGCTACGAATACTGGCGCTCACTTCAACACCATTTGGTGTCAAAACATGGGCTGAAGAAGAAAAAAAGCTCCTATCCTCAATTCGCATCGTTGACTGGCTGATAATATGTTATGAACAAAGCAAAGTTCTGTTGACAAACATCCGCTGGTCCGGGAAAAAATTATGCAGTATTAGGTTTGTGATGGTTTAATATACAACAATTCAAAAGTGAACCCAAATCATTCGGATTCAGATAAATACAATTAAAAATAAATAAACAACCTCGTTCCATGAAACGGATTTCGACAGTCGACAACCGCCCAAGTCCGAATTTTTATCAAATCTGTATTGATGATATCGTTTATATCTATATCGTGACCTAGCCATCAAAAAAGTTTTTACAGCCGTAATAGTATTTACGAAACCGTTCAGAAATTGTTATTCGACATCTATCTCATCCAACCGAGCAAGACATGTGTCACGAGGATGCGCTGCAACAGAACTTGCTACGACTACAGAGAGTGTCGTAAAGAGAATATATAAATATGCACCAGTAGCATGATGTAAAAATGTCATTAAGGTGAACACTGTTACCACAGCCTGGTTTCATCCATGTGAATGAGGTTGATTGTAGTTGAGACCGAAGTTCGTAGTGAGAAGGCAATCTGGCGCAAGTGCGTGCGTGCGATATATAAAGTGGAAATCAGAAAGTAGGAGGCAGATCTTTGAGAGGCCACCAGTAGCACATTAGGTAGTCACCAGAGTTATACTTTAACTTTAAGCAAAGATGAGCTCAGACTCGGACGAGCCAGGTCGATTGGGTGTTGAAACCAAACAATTGAGAGGTTATCAAGAGCGAATAGTTGCGGAAGCTAGCGAGCGAAACTCTATCGTTGTCTTACCCACAGGTACCGGTAAAACCCTCATCGCATGTGCTCTGATTCTCCACCTCATGCGCACGCGGTCTGCGAGGAAGACGCTATTCATAGTCCCTACTATTGCGCTGATGGACCAACAAGCAGCAGTTATAGCGAGAGAGACAGGGCTGGGCGTGATTACCATGGGCGGTGGACGACAGCCCACGAGACTCTCGCTGAAGAATGCGGACGTTGTGGTGGCCTTACCGGCTGCTTTCATGAACGCTTATGAGGAGAGCCATGCCTCGCATACCACCAGAGAAGAAAACGTACGTCCAGTGTGACAGTGTCTACGTTTGGTCATGGTAGCCCGTTGTTAAAGATTGCTGTAAGTCATACATACTTCGATGCAGGTTGAATCACTTGATACTAAAGTATGATATGTCCACCGTGTATTGTGCGATTGCACGCGCATATTTTGATCTACAGTTTCTTTTGGAGTGGTTGTATGGGTCACTACACTCAGTATCACTTTATTTGAGCAAGAACAAGTTCGCGTGTGAACTATGTTTAATATTCTGACTGTGAGCGGAGGATCAGTGCCATGCTGTTTCGAGCCAGTGCCAGGCCACATATGCAACAAAGTTGGATGCCTTTACTATACAATTGCGGTGTTTGAAACTACATAAGTATCCTAGATTGGACGGAAAGTGCAACATAAACTTTCCTAGCTGAGCGTAAACACACCAACTACAATACAATGACAGTCGACAAATCCAAGTTGTCGTTTGCCTCTATGTAGGAGGCCAAGTACGTAACACGGACTATTTCCCATCGTGATCCCACACGGTCGTCAGTGTTATCTTTAAAGTCAAATAGTTATTTACTTCGCCGTATATCTCGACTGGTACTTTTAATGTGTTTCACTGTAGGGTAATTCAAAAGCAAACCTCCCCCTGCGAGAATCCGACGGAAACTCTTTAACTTTAAAGCATACGTTCCAATCGCAAGCTATATCTGAGACATTGCCTCCAAGATTAAAGAGGGATCGAATTTCATACCCAAAAGATTATGGCACTCAATGTTTTGCACTCTTCAAAAGAGTAGTGGTTACCATAGTTGCCCTCGCCTTCTGATGTCCTGTAGTCTGTCATACCCGTCCAGAATCTGTTCAGCTTCAAAGACTTCGGGCTGGTTGTGTTTGACGAGGTGCATCACATGATCAAAGACGACCCGTACACGCACACGGCCAGAGCAATCGCCACCGAGCACGCACGCAGTGGTCATAGGCCGCAGATACTCGGACTAACCGCGTCAATTACTTATCGTACCAACGAGAAGCATATACGCAGAGACGTCAAGCGGATGGTTCGGTTGCTACAGGTGTTTATGCGTGTTTGTGTGCGTGCTTGTTGTTGTGGTTGCTGATTGATAGTGTGGGTGTTAAGAGAGGGTGGGGATGTTGGTGTTGGAGTGTTTGTATATCGGAAAGGAGAGTATCTTAGCAGTTTCAATAAAATAAGTACATCTGTACCAAGACCAAGCGTAAAAGATGAGCCGTTAGAAGCGACTAATTCAGTTGCATAGAGGTGTGCGTAGTAGTATACATCAGAAATACCTTCAAGCGTACAATAGAGCAATTTGATCTACGTGTTAGGCATAGCTTCGGGTGATGTTTACAGTGTAGTACGTGATTTGCTTGTGGTTCTGCAGTAAGATATGCTTGTGTGCAGGAGAGAGGGGATGTCAGGGATATGCAAAACATGATTGCATTCAAGTATATAACGGGACAAGCTTGGCTGTTTATGCAGAAGCACGCTATCCGTGAATCAAAGCTCGAGAATGATGAACCTGATCACTCATAACTGCGCATACAGAATATGCACACAAGCCTATCCCTAAACCTCACGCACACACTCTCTCACTCCTGTGCATTCATGTGAGATCCTGCGGTTATCATTGCGCCCGCGTCACAATCGCCGATTAGTATTCAGAGATCTCTACCCCAAGTTGCGCATAATATATATACATATATATACAAATGTATATATATATATATATGTATATATATATATATATATATATATATATATATATATGTGTGTGTGTGTGTGTGTGTGTGTGTGTGTGTGTGTGTGTGTGT